AAGAGGGTTAGGCCTACCCTAAAATTAAGGAACGCTTGACCTCGACACGTGATATCGAAATGGGCGAAATCGCCTCTTGATGTCACTAACTACCTTGAACCTTGATTTTTGGCTTAAGTATTCTGTTTTGTGATGCTTGTGGAAAGCGGGGAAGGAACGCATTTTTTTCAGTTTCCCGATACCTTTCTCATTCTACGATGCTTTGTAGGAAAAGGTAGGGCAAAACGGGGCGGTTAAGGAAAATTGCAAAATTTAGTACCAAGGAGTTGGCGTAGCACGTTGCGAATTTGTATGCATTACTTTGTATGTCCTACCTATGAGTAGGATTCAACTTCATCCCGAAATCAGTGACGGCCTTCCCTCCCCGACAATTGTTGTCAAATACCCATGTGTGGAAAAACCGGGTACGCCTCCAAATATTATTTTACAATGTTTTTATTGATGATATATACCTATTTAAATAGGTCACGGAACAGAAATATCAATGAAATGTCTAAAAATAGGAAACTAATGATTTTCCGCGTATTCCAACGTCTTCATTTTATACCTATTTACAAAGTTCACATAACAGAAACCACAACGTAGCATCCACAACTTACAAACATATGGTTTCTCTTGTTTTCCCAGGTTTTCAGTATTACATACAAGTCAAGGAACGGAAACTGAAGTGAATCATATAAGAATGAACTTTTTCTCATGTTGACTCATATTTTCATTATATGCCCATTTGCTGAGGCCACGGAATGGAATCAAAAATAAATCTTTAATGAAAAAACAACTGCTGCCGTTTCAATTTGTTATCCATGTATCCATTAGATGCAAATTTCAGAAGTAACAGAAAAACACGTCTTCATCCGTGTCGTCATCTATGCCTGTACAGCTGTCATGAGCCGAATTCTGGTGACCCAACCGTCATTGAGTTTTGAGTGAGAGAAAGAATCTGAACAGTAATATATCGCTTCATCTGAGGTTCTGAGCTTCATCGTTGTAATGGATATTACAGCCAGAAGAGAATACATATATAGGGCCGCTACACCAACCAATTTTGCCCCCTCATCGTCCCATCGTTTTGTCCCATTAGCACCGTCTATGATTAAGACACTGCCAAACAAGAGGTGAGTGAGCTATAGAAAAAAAGACTTCTTGTCATAGTTCACGTTTCCACCATCGGCAGAAAAAAAATATCAAACGCCACCAATGTTCCCATGTTACTCTGTTTCGCTTATCAAAAACTAGAAACAAAATAATAAAAATAATTTTGTTATTACTTTACTCCTTGGGTGCTTATAAACCACTCTACAGATCACAGCCGTGCCTAAAAATTTGCACCTGTGGTAAGCGGTTAAAATACAATAAATATTGATAGGTATCGGGTATAGTTTGGTAAAAATCTGAGTTGCCCCGTTTTGCCCCTCGCCTCACCTTTTTTGCACCACCTTCGCCAACATAGTGGACAAAATAGTTTGGTTTTCTTTAACACTTTATAGCACAGACTAGGCGAGTTTGAAAATATTGCAGTAAGTTTGTTTATTGAACACTGATGGCAACATATTTAAGATCCATTCCATAATTCCGATGTAGTTGCCCAGTGTAACAGGGGTAGCACTTGAGAAGCGCACTTAAGTTAGTACCCCATAAGTTAGGCTGCAGGTGCTGTCTATTCCTTCGTTTGCACATTCGCTATCTTGCTAGGACATTGCTCACTTTCCCAGCGCCACCTCGTATGCTATTTAGCTAATTGCGTGAATGCTATGCCACGAATCTTTATTCTGTTGATATCATTGGAAAGCTGAATGAATGCTCTATACAGATGCTATATTAGAATTTCAGCAAAACTCTTGAGGACAGGTGCTATGAAGTGATGAAGATAACCCGAGTTTTTCGGCCCACCCCGTACCATAAAACCGTTTCCATGAAACTCAGTGCTTCCTGAATTGAAAAAAGAAATAAGTTTGGAGGAGGAGAGAATGAAGTAATACAATGTCCATTAGAATAAATGAAAGGCAAAGGACGAAATAGAGTGGCACTGCACCAATTCCCACAAGTAAATGTTTTCAATGTTAAGATGTTCCAAAAACCCAAATCCCCATTATTAATGTGTTTCTTTCATCGAATTAACAACATTATACAAATGACTAAACATTCGATATTATTGCATTATTGTTGCTGTATGAAAGTGAGTTGAATATCAAATAACATCTTAACCCCTTGAACACACATGACGCACCTATATGCGTCATGGGATAGGTCCATCCCTGATACACATGACGCATATGGGTGCGTCATGCGAATATCGAAATTTTCCGCTGCGACCACTCTCGCTGTGACATCTGCATGATGACTGGTCATCTCTGATATTTGGCAGATATCGTACCAGTACAGCCTCCCGGTTTAAAGCTCGCCTTTTTCTGCAAAAAAAGTATCCTGTCTCGTGCACTCTCCCCATAAGCAGTCATGGCGTCGCGCAGGAAGGGAAAACGTGGTGCTGAAGAAAGTTCGGGCAGTAATTTACTGTGTTAAAAGCGATTTTGACTTTCAATATGAGTCGAGTTATTCTGAATGAGTCTTCAAGCACGGAATTTTACTTTTGGAGAGAAGATGTTAGCGGGCATTCAAAAAATTATTATGGTGACTCCGGTGACAAAGATGACGGGCGTGGTGACGCAACGGCAGAGATGGCAGAGATGGCAGTTCTGCCAGTACCTGCAGTGCAAAGTGAGCTTCCACCTGAAGAACTGCCTCCAGAATTATCACAAAAGCTTGCAGAACTTCTAAGCTAAGAGCTAAAGAAGACACAAAATAAGCCAATATATCAAACAACGCTATGTTTGTAAAATAAATCATGAATATTGTCAGAAAAGTCGGTGTATCAGGGTGCTGTCAGATTCAATTTCTGGTGTGTTCAAGGGGTTAATATAAAAATGACATTAGTAAGAGCGAAAACCACATATTTTTCTGCATTTAGGAAGCTCCTTACGGAAATATGAGGAGCCGTGTCACCTTGAGTTCTTTGATTCGTATTACGTACAGTACATTATTATTAGTATATTGACGATTAGCAAGTTATGCTAAAAAATGTACGGTTCCACGTTGACCCTGTCCACAATGTATTCAAACAGGAGAGAATGGAGGAAGGAGATCATACTAGTTCACTTGAAGTCTCTGCTGCATCTGGATCTTTGTTAGATGGCGAAATAGAATTGAATCCTTCAGACCGAGAACTTCGTTTACTCCAGCTCGGAGCTGAAATCCTCAAAAGACCCATTGTTCTCATCGGAAAAAAATTGTCTTGTGAGTTCCAGCATCTCATAGCCCTATATACTAGTACGATCGTCACTGAATGAGTGACGCTAATTGAAACCATTTCATAGATTAGGTTGGAGCTTGAAACGTGACACATAAGAAGTTATGAAGTCGATGAGATCATAATTAATTCCACGTTCATCCCTGTAGGTACACTCTTTTGAAGTGGGGAGAGGAAGGAAAAAGTTCCTGAGTATAGGGTAAATTGGGGGAATGTGGCCATTTGGGTAATATGGCCCTTCACAATAAATCCCCTAACAGGCTCAATAGTTAGTTTGGGCGAATTAAAAAAATAGTTCTATCAAAGAGTGCATGCAATTGTCGAAATGTTTAGATCTGTTCATTAATCCAGTTCTCACTGTAATTCGGGACACATTGATGTCTTGAAAGTCATATGCATGGGATTCTTCAACTCATGACCCTGAAGTTAAAATGAGCCTCGAGCAACCTAAGCGTATATTTCCTAATAGCAGCATTGATACAGAAAGCATTTGTTAAAAGCTTTTCCATACCTCCAAAATGTTTGTGGAAAGTGCTAGCTCCTTCACTTGCGGTTTCCAGAGAGCGTCGTCAATTTTGTCATGAAAGTCAATTTGGGGAATATGGCCATCTCGACTTGGGGTAATATGGACACATTCTTAATTTCATGGTAGCACCGCACTGACCTATTGGTAGTGTGTACTTCCTTTAATTTCGAAAATCATGCAGCTAAAGATCATACTATACACTTCCTATTGATGTATGGAGAGTACAGGACATCTAGACTAAATATGCAGTGCATGAGGAACCAGAGCATAAGGATCTGCTCATGCACCGCCTCCTGGACATCTGATTGAAAATTCCAGAAATTTTGTGTTATGGAATTTGAAGAAATATAAATATCCCTCATACAAGAAAGCTAAAAGGGAATTCTGCGAATTTCTTGGCACTATTTATGCATGCATGAAAAACTTCGCCAATTTTTCCTCCAAGGTAAGACCTCATATTTTACACTCGTAGCGTACGCTCACTTTAATCTAAGCTTGATCACTCCTCTTACACACAGTCTCTAGATATAGTCTCCCAATCACGTGCATTTTTGCTAGAAAGCAAAAGCGTTGCAATCATGCTTTCCACAAAGGTTCCTCGAGTTACGTAATGATATTCACTTCTTTGCTTGTCTTCAATGCAGTTGGTTTTTTTTTTCAACTGCTGAGCGTCCTTTATTATGTTTCAAAGTACTCAGCATGTTCCAGCATATTTTACGCGCTCCTAGAAAACCTAGAGTATTTTTTTCAGAAGTGGCCATATTCTCCCAACTATAGGGGTAATATGGCCTCTTGGGACCAACTTGAAAAATATCCAAAGGCCATTCATGTTTTTTTGCATATGCCTTGCTGGTATTTAGTAAAGGAGATATCACTCAATATTTTAGAAACAGCGTACAAGTCAAATTTGACCTTGATGGGCCGTTATGACCAGTTTCCACTTTCTAGGCCATATTCCCCCCAATTACCTTATGTTTCGCTCCAACAAAGAAAGAGACAGAAAGGTAAAATTTTGGCAAAGCGACTCCTGGAATTATACAATAGTATATTAGCTTCAGAAAATCTAATCAGTCATTGCTCGAAAGGAGAGAGATTATCATGATTTTCCTTTCCTTCATGTTCCCATTCATGTGAAAATGAGATACGACTTTGATTTATTGCATGGAAAACGAACATGAAGAAAATTAATGGGCATGTAAAATTTGTCTGCCTAGACACCTTCTTCCCACAAGGCGCGAAGGGAGATGAGAATGAGGATTACCGGGGGATCCTGCTCTACGCCCAGGAAGACAACCTGTCCGACTCCATCCTCCCCGTTGTGCCTCAAACCTGTGAGTCATTATTATTTTTTTTTTTAAGTTGGTGGACATTTCCATCATCATTAAGGATATTTCTGCATCGAGTCGTTAAAATTAAAACTTAGGACTAATGTTAGTGAAGATATAGAATGAACTCCTAAATATAAAGTTAGCAAGAATGTATGAATTCATAGACGCTGTAGGCGGGGGTCTGACGTGATTGTAATTTACTATTAATCGCTAACAGAACGCCAGTATGTTCGTGGTTAGAATGACTCCGTTGACTCCTTAATAATACTATGAATTTATTATGACAACCAGTATTGGGGGAGATCCACTAAATTACCGATCTGGAAGGATGGCGAGGATATACATAGAGGCTGATTGGTCAACTTCTTATACAAGATAGATAGGAAAGACAATACCTGTGTACTTGAGACGGAGAGAAAACAACACTATTACTTGAAAGCTGGCTCGTTTCTCCCAAGGGGATTGTTACTATTGTTGTTCCACCTTCAACAACCACCGTGTTCCGACTACATGGCTCTCGATCCTACTACTACCTTCACACACACTGGTACAACCACTCACTCTACATTGCTCTCGATCTGACTACCCTGCTCTACTCTCTCTCTGCTAAAGCACCTTCTCGCTCGTGCGGTCTTTTATAACCCTTATTTCCAGACATGCGTGCAAGTTCATCCGTCCGACCCGATTAGCAAGGTGATTCTTAAGTACCTCCTACACAGCTTCTTTTAGCAGCTCCCAACATGTACCGTTGAAGCTGATGTATGGTAGGTGACACGAGCTGGTTCGCCCTGCGGCTTTGCAATTCCCTCCCACCAATCACGGAAGGCATTACTGATCCAACATGGTCGCCGTCTGTGTTGGCCAGAGACATGGTAAATACAGGGTGTTCGAAAAGTCACTGTGCAGTAGAATTCATATATTTTGTTGCATGTACAGGTATTTAGTATTGTACTGCGTATCACATGTATTGCATATTCAAAGACATGAATTTCCACTCAATGCTTCATCAAATATTAGCAACATCCCCGATTCACATAATTTATTGTCTGCAATTCCTAGCTACAGTGAGGCCTCCTACGTCATGTCGTGAGTTCTACTGCACAGTGGCTTTTCGAACACCCTGTATAACTAGACTGGACAGGGCAGTCGAAGATCTCACGTCATGTAGACCCTGGACCCAATTGCACGAGAAACCGATATTGCACACTCACATAGGTAGGTGCAATGAAAATAAAGACCGGACTTCTAATCCTCAAAGATGGAAAAGGTTGTATTGATAGATTTTCAAAACACCATACTTCTTCAGTGAAGACCAGATAAGCCTAGGCCTACCCGGTCTTCAGGGTGCCGCCACTGCCTTAACATCTTCTATTACGCACGAGAACAATGGAATTTGGATTATCTTCTGACGAGGTACTACACTTTTTTTCCCTCTGTATGTTCGAAAGATGCCTCCACTGCAATGGTGAGCGTCAAAACTCACATGAGAATGTGACATGAATCCGAAAACTATGCATTTGATGGCATGAGCGATGGCGGCCGCCCTTCTAATAGGCATGTGGCTATGTCGCATTCTCCATTGCCCTGTCCAATCTAGTTATGTTTACCACGTCTCTGGTGGGCTGCTGTTCGAATTCTGTGCGGCGGCCAGCGTCTCATGTGAAGAAGTCCTAGAATTCGTTATATAAAGTTTCTTACAAGAGTAACACAAGCTCAATCAAAGTTTGGGTAACGTTTGGCTAACGTGGTTTGGCACCCTGAGCCCTTATTTTTCAACATTTATTAGGGTGACCAGACGCCCGGTTTGAACTTAATTAACACCTCTGGTGAAATTTGCTTGCCAGGAAGTTGGCCCGCAACAAAATTCCCTTGAGATTCTTCATTGCCTCGTTGATCCTGTTGACTCATGCAACATTTCATACACCTAATCGTACAAGCTCACGAGCCAGCTCAGTCAGCAAGCGCGCAACACACGCTGGCACTCCTGGAAGCTGCCATGTTGGAACGGTGAAGCCGTTCTGTGATTGGTGGGAGGGAATTGCAAGGCCGGAGGCCGGACCCGTTCGTTGCGTAACTGGACGCGTTGTCATGATGGAGCATCCAAGATTTCAAGGGTGACCTAGTTCTCCGATTCTTCAAAGATTCGAGCAATTTGGAAGGCAGGATTTTATGTACCATTTCGAGGTCACAATATTTTGACCCCGAAGAGGCATGGTGCTCATGTGACCAGTGAAAAAGAATAAACTAGCCACCATTCGCCTTCCCACGCTTCTGGGCCGCTTGACCTTGGTTGGAGTCGGCTCACAAAGGGAAGAGCGAGATAGTAATTGGCGTTTTATCTCTGGGTGAAATTGATATTTCCAAGATTCATCGTCTGGGATGATGTCATGGATGAAAATTTTGAAAAGCCAGAAATGAACTTATGGAACATCAACTCATATATTTCCTGGCCTCCTTTTCACTTAGGGTGAGATTATGAGGGACCCATCTGCTGTTGCCCCTTTTTAGACCAAGATGTCTTTGCAGGATGTCATTCGCTACTGCTGACCCAATCCCAAGTACCGTAGTACCTGAATGTCCTCATTTATATTGGGTTGGAAAGAAAGTGTTGCAACATTTTCTAAAACTATTTATAAAATTTTTCAAAGAAATAATGGGTGGGGCTTTGAATTTGTATATGCTGGAATGTTCTCGAAGCTTCTGCCCTCGGGGTATAT